TCTCCATCTTTTCTATACTGTGCTGTATTTTTGACAGCATACAACAGACATGGCCAAAAAAACAGCAGTGAGAGAATTACACTGAAACAATACATATGACAAATCCCAGAACTAAACACCTAAGACTCAGATTTCCTCTCTTTTGTTACTGCTTGACTCGTGTACTATTTATATCAGTGATAATCTCATTTGTTTACTGTAACTGCATTGTCTTACAAGAAATAGAATGATAGCATACTGACAGTCAAAGGCTGTCAACATACCGTACTACACAGGAAAAATAATGGCCACTATTACCTGCAGCAGTGCACTGACACCAGCTAAACTGAAATGGAGCTGTTTAGACACCAGCTAAACTGAAATGGAGCTGTATAGTACTGTATATGTGTGAATGAGAGAAGGTCATATCTTGCCACACATACATAACTCTATATTTGAGCCAATATACAACCCCAAATCAGAAAAAGTTGGGACAGTATGTAAAATCCAAATTAAAACAGAAAATAGTGATTTGTAAATCATCTGTGTCCTATATTACAATACAGCAGCACATTATTTGATGTGATACCTCATCAATTTTATTCTTTGTTCAAAATAAACACTTATTTCAATTCAGATGCCGGCAACACATTCCAAAAAAAGTTGGGGCAGCTGTAGTTCAAGGCTAGTAAAACAGTAAAATGATGAGTTCACTTGAAAAACGTGATGTCAACAGGTGATATCATGATTTGGAACAAAAGCGGCATCCAGGAAAGGCCAAGCCCTTCAGGAGCAAAGATGGGCAATGGATCACCACTTTGCCAATCATATATATGTGAAGAAATTACTGAATTGTTTAAAAACTATGTTCCTCAAATAAAGATAGGAAGGGATTTGGATATGTCACCCTATATGGTGCATAACACACTTAAAAGATTCAAGGAATCTGGAGGGATTTCAGTGTGTAAAAGGCAAGGGCGGTGGCATCCAGGAAAGGCCAAGCCCTTCAGGAGCAAAGATGGGCAATGGATCACCACTTTGCCAACATATATGTGAAGAAATTACTACTGAATTGTTTAAAAACTATGTTCCTCAAATAAAGATAGGAAGGGATTTGGATATGTCACCCTATATGGTGCATAACACACTTAAAAGATTCAAGGAATCTGGAGGGATTTCAGTGTGTAAAAGGCAAGGGCGGAAGCCTAAGCTGGATGACTGTGCTCTCCGATCCTTCAGATGGCACTGCATCAAGAATCATCACTCTTCTATAAGCGATATAACTACATGGGCTCAGGATTACTTTGGCACACCTGTGTTAAGCACTAAAATAAGTGGTTGCATTCATAAATGCTACTTAAAACTGTACTGTGCCAAAAGGAAGCCCTATGTCAACAGTGTCCAGGGCCCGTATTCACAAAGCATCTTAGAATTCTCTCAGAGAGCTCCTATCTTAGCCTAAAAAGTCCTAGCTGGGAGTCCTAGACTAAAAGTGATTTAGGAAACTTCTCAGAGCAACTCTGAGCAAGGAAAGTACAAAAACTTTTATCTTAGTGAGGAGGTGTGGTTGACCCCGTTGCTAGGGATGATGCAGCAAATCTTGGACTGTGATTGGTTGATAAAGAATCTGTCACGGTCTTTACAACAATGCAGTCTTTGTGAAAAGAGAATATATGATAATATGATGGACAGTGAAATCATAATGTTTGTATATA